GTGCCCCCTGGTGGTTCGGGGGCCCTACGCAACTTGGGTACTTTGCATATAGGGAGGACCGGCACTGATGGCATCCACAACAACATACAATAACGTCCTGTTTATTTAGTGCACGCTGCAGTCTGCAAATGCTCTAGGTCTTTAAATTTGGGTTGGATTCTGATTGGCTGTCAATGACTTTTTATCGTTCATCAACTGGGGGAAAAAATCGCTCTGAAAGTCATTCCAACGATATCGCTCTTCGGTTTCTAAATTTTTATTGCGCTAAATAACCCCACAACAGTTCGCTATAGGATCCGTATCTTAAAAAAAAAAAATGCAAATGCAATTTATAGGTTTACACATGACTAATAAATTACAAAATCAGGGTTTTGTTTAAAACGTATTAGTTGACTTTATCTAAAAATGTGTTGCGTACTACGTCGATAGAAAATTGATGACACAAATTCCCTTAAAACCCTTGATTCCTGAAAGTCATTGAATAATTGAGCACAAAGCTAGACCTTTGCATGGAAGCTTGTTTTGCTTTTTTCACAATTCAGATTTTTTTTCTCAGAATTGTGTGATATAAAATCGCATTGCAAGTTATAAAGTCAGAATTGCGAGATATAAACTCGCAATTGGGATAAAGTCAGAATTGTGTGATATAGGCTATGTCGCAATTGCGTGCTATAAAGTCTGTGTTGTTTTCCTCGGAATTGGAAATTATAACTAGCAATTATGACTTTAAATCTCGCAATTCTAAGAAAAAAAGTAGGAGGTGACTTCACTTATCTTGATACAGATGGTACCGTTTACCAGGATACAGGAAAACAAAACATAAGACTGTACAATCACAACAGAACGTGAAGGTTAAATAAATAAAATAGCAAATTACAAACAATGTCTTAAATGCTGAGCTCTAAAAAGACACCTGAATGTAGTGTTTGGATTAATCACAGGGAACTCATTTATAGGCCTAGGCCAACACACCTGGACAGTTTCACTTGGAATAGTTGACTTTGTTTTAGACAGAACAACAGCATTCAATTAGAAAACACTGAAAATAGAAGAATATGTATAAATGTTTATGATCTTTACATAAATTATTTTATTCATCGCAGTTTTTTTTACTCCTCCAAGTTCCAACCACAATTGAGAAGTGTTTCTGCCTGGTGAGGTGATATAAGGATCTCGCAAAACCTTCTTTACCAGGAGCGGTAGGAAGTTCACTGTAGAGGTTACAAACTGGGTGTTAATCACTCGTCCAATCACCTCGGGGAAGGTCTGAGACAAGAGCCAATCGCTGTCCTCACAGGACATCATCTGAACAGATGAGCGAGTGCACAGGGAAATGGGTCAAAACGCGGTGTTCACGCACAAGACTTTGGCAAGCAAAATAGCGCAATCAACTGATGCGATCCTGGTGGACTTGGAAACACTCGCGGCTGGCGCAATGAGTTCAATGTGTGAACCAGCACAAGATGCTGGAACCCAATTCAGACTACTCTCCCACCGCTCTTTTAGCTAAATATAATAATAATATCAAATATTTATAATTTGAAAGAACACTGACTGCTGAGACAATTAGTTGTCTTCAGTTATGGCGGTATTGTGTGTCTTTATTAAAGGCTAAATAACACTGTTCCAAGTAAACTATTCTTTTTTCATACAAGGATAGTTGTCAATAGTGTTTTCAAACCACAAAAGTGACACAAAATTATAGCAACAGTTCGCTGCTCTTGCAGGCCCATTCACACAAAGAACGATATAACTATAAAGATAAATGATAATAGCATCCAGTGCATCTAGACTTCTCGGGGCCCCTAAACAAAACTTTTGTCCAGGGGGCCCCTGTCAGTGCATTCATATAAACCCCAAAATGACCCCCGACTCCTTAATTTGTTCTTTTAGAGGAGTTTCACTATTAACCAACAACAGTGATTCGAAACGCTAGTAATACAATAAAAACAACAGGACAAATAAAACTGAAGAAAAGATATGCATGAAATGAACAATTTAGCCTACAACTAATAATAGTCTACTATACAGATATTGAATAAAGTTATCAAATGTAAAAAATAAATAAATAAAATAAAACATGGCATAGTCTTCACTGTATGAATTAAATATACATTGATTCTTATTAAGTTACTAATGTTATTCAGTGAAGAGCAGTGAATGATTCTCTCGTTTTCTTTTGTTGTTTGAGTAACATTAAATGACAGAGAGAGCAGCGGGTTTATTTAGGCTGCTGTCACTTTAACACCAAATACACAGACCTAATACACTGACAAGCATTCGATTGCCCTCCCAGTTGTTTATGTTGTTCACTGAAGACATAACTGCATTTCTCCGTTAAAGGCAAGCACACGCCAGAAGCCCAAAGTAGCCTGCACTTGTCTGTGTTTCTCTCCATTTCGGATCGGGCGGACAGAAAGCCTCCTGATGAACAGCGCCTCTTTTGCAGCTCAATACGCTTTTACACGTGACGTTACATGATTCGACTGATTTGAATGTTACATATGGTGACAGCGCAACGCTTTAACGGAAAGGAACGGAAAACAGCATCATGTTTTCATAATCGTTTGAAGCCAAAAAAAAAAAAAAAAAAAAAAAAAACACAGCCCTATTTTATTCTTGAGATCAAGGGTGCCCCCTGGTGGTTCGGGGGCCCTACGCAACTTGGGTACTTTGCATAGGGAGGACCGGCACTGATGGCATCCACAACAACATACAATAACGTCCTGTTTATTAAGTGCACGCTGCAGTCTGCAAATGCTCTAGGTCTTTAAATTTGGGTTGGACTCTGATTGGCTGTCAATGACTTTTTATCGTTTAATCAACTGGGAAAAAATCGCTCTGAAAGTCATTCCAACAACGATATCGCTCTTCGGTTTCTAAATTTTTATTGCGCTAAATAACCCCACAACAGTTCGCTATAGGATCCGTATCTTAAAAAAAAAAATGCAAATGCAATTTATAGGTTTACACATGACTAATAAATTACAAAATCAGGGTTTTGTTTAAAACGTATTAGTTGACTTTATCTAAAAATGTGTTGCGTACTACGTCGATAGAAAATTGATGACACAAATTCCCTTAAAACCCTTGATTCCTGAAAGTCATTGAATAATTGAGCACAAAGCTAGACCTTTGCATGGAAGCTTGTTTTGCTTTTTTCACAATTCAGATTTTTTTCTCAGAATTGCGTGATATAAAATCGCATTGCAAGTTATAAAGTCAGAATTGCGAGATATAAACTCGCAATTGGGATAAAGTCAGAATTGTGTGATATAGGCTATGTCGCAATTGCGTGCTATAAAGTCTGTGTTGTTTTCCTCGGAATTGGAAATTATAACTAGCAATTTTGACTTTAAATCTCGCAATTCTAAGAAAAAAAGTAGGAGGTGACTTCACTCATCTTGATACAGATGGTACCGTTTACCAGGATACAGGAAAACAAAACATAAGACTGTACAATCACAAGAGAACGTGAAGGTTAAATAAATAAAATAGCAAATTACAAACAATGTCTTAAATGCTTAGCTCTAAAAAGACACCTGAATGTAGTGTTTGGACCAATCACAGGGAACTCATTTACATATAGGCCTACACACCTGGACAGTTTCACATAGTTGACTTTGTTTTAGACAGAACAACAGCATTCAATTAGAAAACACTGAAAAATATAGAAGAATATGTATAAATGTTTATGATCTTTACATAAATTATTTTATTCATCGCAGTTTTTTTTACTCCTCCAAGTTCCAACCACAATTGAGAAGTATTTCTCCCTGGTGAGGTGATATAAAGATCTCGCAAAACCTTCTTTACCAGGAGCGGTAGGAAGTTCACTGTAGAGGTTACAAACTGGGTGTTAATCACTCGTCCAATCACCTCGGGGAAGGTCTGAGACAAGAGCCAATCGCTGTCCTCACAGGACATCATCTGAACAGATGAGCGAGTGCACAGGAAAATGGGTCAAAACGCGGTGTTCACGCACAAGACGTTGGCAAGCAAAATAGCGAATCAACTGATGCGATCCTCGTGGACTTGGAAACACTCGCGGCTGGCGCAATGAGTTCAATGTATGAACCAGCACAAGATGCTGGAACCCAATTCAGACTACTCTCTCACCGCTCTTTTAGCTAGAAAATTTAACAATGTAAGATATAAAATATATTACTAAAGTATCGTGGATTCGTTGTCAAGGGTTTTATCGTTCAACTGGAAAGTTCTGAAAGTCATTCCAACGATAGGCCTATCGCCTTAGCCTATCTGTCCTTCTTGGTGCAGCGTGGGATTTTCCCACGCAGACTGTTTTCTTCTTACAATAGCAAACAGTGTTGAAAAAAGTTGGATACAATTTTATTACAATGCCCTAAATAAACTGTAATCGAGTTGGCATGCTGAGGTAGGCTAACCATAAACAGTTCGCTGATCCATCATCAACAAAAATACAAGTGCAATTTATTATTGCTTTAAACATGACTAATCACAAATCGGTGTTTTGTTTAAAACGTTAGTTGACTATCTAAAAATGTTTTTCCTGAGATTAATATTAATGGAAAATTGCGGACAAAAACACATTGAATTGAGCACATGTCAAACGTATGTCTGCCACTTTTCTAAAGGCAAATGCCACAATATATTTGTATAGGCTATATTTATTTAACTTTGATGGCACCGTGCAATTAACTGACAGAATTAATGCTATTAAGAATTTGTCATCTGTAAGAATTTACAGAATCTTTTTTATTTCGTGTCATGACAGTGGTTGCTGTTATCGGCTATCATATTAGGCATAATACCATGTTAGCACCGTTTTACCAAGTGGGTAACTATGGTTACCACCACCACCACGGTAAATCTTCGAAAGGACAATAAGCGCGTGGCTCCGGGGCGGGTGGCTCGCGGGTTTATCATAGAACAGTTAACGTTACCCCCCAAACGACTTTCCCGCTGGAAACAGCCTAGACGCTCACATATACTCGCCGTCTTAATATTCTCAAACGGTGCTTTTGATTCTTATGTGAAGGCCGGCTGTGTGGTTATGTGTGTTTCGTGCCTTCACTGCTCGGTGTTCCAGTACCGCGCCCGGATGGAAATGTGTCTTCCGGGGAAAAGCTGCTTTCAGCAAACGAGACACCGAGCACATCGCGCCACACAGCCTGGACATCTGCAGCTTTCAACAGAAGCGTGTGCCTTTCTAAGAACGCAAGCGGTTTGAGACACAGATCTATGGCCAGACCTATGCGTCCCAGAGAGGAGAAGAGCCGTGGAAAATCTGATAGAGACCCGTAAGAGCTCAAACCTCAAATTTTGCTATTTCATTCTGATCTTAGTGCCGTCATTCATGGATGTGCACGCAGAGGCGGGTCCGTTGCACGTGCAGACGGTGGATGAGCCACCGGGAGGCGCCACCGTGACCGTGGATGCCGCACAGTTTCAGGTCCAAACGGTGCTGGGGACCGACGGGGAGTTCAGCGAGGATGACTTGCAGACGGGCGCTGGAGCTCAAACACCGCTGGCTGATCCGATCACAGAGATCGAGAACGAGGATGCTGAGTGTGCAGGGACGGACACACCGGGCGAGGACATCGCGGGGAAAACGGAAACAGTTGGCTCCAGTTGCAGCAACGAGAGCTGCATCCCGACCCCAGGCTGTCGGATCTGCTTTCAGGGAGCCGAGCAGGTGAAGTAGGGCCGTTCATTTCATCCGTCTGCGCTATTTATTGTGGGGCAATGCATGTATGCGTCACACCGACGTCTTTGGTTTTTCCAGGATTCGTGCGCCATTCAGAATTAAATTGAGAATGCCCTAAATTCCTGAATTTGAACCAAGTTTGAATGAAAGTAGGCTAAATGAAAAAGAAGTTTAGCAGATGCTTTTCCAGAGCGACTTATGAGTAACACCTCAAGCAATTCTGTGAAAGTTTTAGGCACGTGAGGGTGTTTTCAAAAATAACGTCATAAATAGATTTTATTTATCAATTACCTTCTATTAACTAAATCAAATCAATATTTGGTGTTATCACTCTGCGTTTAAAACTGCTTTTGTCCAGGCAGGTACACTTGCATTTAGTTTTTCAGGTAGGCCTACATTTGCAGGTCGGTTTCTTCAAGCATCTTGGAGACGGTGCCACATTTCTTCTGGATTGAGTCTGTCTCAGTTTTTAGTCTGTTTCTCCTTAAATGTCTATAGTTTCTTCATGTAATCCCAGACGGACTTGATGTGAGATTAGATCTCCGTTTTTGGAGCATACCTGCTGTTATCAGACTCCTTCATACAAAAATCTCACTGGATTACTAAAATTAATGGCAAAAGGAACATTTGAAAATGTAAACTGATATTTCCTGCTGACACACTACAGAAAAATAAATAAATAACTGATTTAAAACCTTTTCGTGTGTGTGTAAATACTAACGTGCCTAAGACTTTAGCGCAGTAATTTGTATATATATTAACTTTTGTGGACAGGGTGGAAGAGCAGTTTCCCAGAATGCACTACCTGTGTTGAATCTCAGAACTGAATTACAATTCAGTAAATTCCATAGACTGTGGTAAATTCCTTTTCCTATCATTCCAATTCAACTTCAGTTTCAACTTCCTGTGAGGTGTGGCCAATGCAATTCAAATTTAAGCTCATATATTACAACAGAGCCAGTTCTTGAATTCTCGATCCAGATGTCCCATCCTCATGTTGTCCTATACAGGTAACAACATAGCAATTCATAAATACTGTACTTCCAACTGTTGACAAGTGTTAGGACAGTCTGAGTAATATAAACATCTTTTTAATTGATTATGGGCCTACATAATTCATGCAATTATTAGAATATCGGGAATTGATTCGTAATGCTTTAAACAGACAGTGTGGTGGTGTGTGTGTGTTGGTGAGATCCATTAGAATATGTGCTGCTCCATTCATGTCTAATGCTCTTCACTTCCTGCAGCTAATGTGCTTCCTCGAGGCGCCTTGTGTTTGTGTATGTGTGTGTGTAAGTGTGTGCAAAAGTGTTCCACTTTGTTTCAGACTCATTACAGGTCCAAATGAGGATGTTTCTGAAATAATTCATGAATGCACAGATGAATCATTTCCCATCCACTCACTGAGATGAATCTCAGTCATTGTGTATAGTGTTTCATTCACTCAAGATGTTCTCCTCATTTAGACGAAACAGCTCATCTGCCCCATTGTTCATGGCAATGGCAATACTCATCTTCAATGGCACACAATAAAACAGCCATCAATCATCAGCTCAGTCGTCTGTGTTTTATCATTGTGTGTTTTGATTGGCTGATTGTGTGTGTTGGCTGTGATTGGCTGCAGGGGGAGCTGCTGAGCCCGTGCCGCTGTGCTGGTTCTGTTCGGCATGCCCATCAGCAGTGTCTGCTCAAGTGGATCAGTGAGAAGGGCTCCTGGAGCTGTGAACTCTGCAACTACAGATTCAACATCCTGCCTATACATATCAAACCACCACAACAGGTAAGCACATACACAGGGATTTATAATATAGGAGTGTCTATTTACACTAACTCCGCCCACTGACGTCTGGTTGGGTCAGACACAATTATGGAAGACGCTAGATTAGGCGTGTGGCACCTGAGCGCTCTCCCTTTTCCCATCACATATCAAACCGGAAAGGCATTTATTTTCAATAAAAAGGCAGAAAATATTTATAAGTATAAAAAGCATCTAACTACTATTTACACTTATTGCAAAGAAAATATGCTATTTTCACTTAGTGTAAATAGCATCTATTTATGCTGCCTTATGATATATTGGTCAGGACTTCATACTAAGAAATATACTATACTTTAATTCAAAATACTTTTTTAGTTGACAAATTAAAGAATCGCTCAATTGTTATTCAGACGTGCTTTAGTTTCCATTTGATGATGTCACTCTAATTGTGATTCTAATTGTATTTATGTCATTATAAATGTTACATCTTAACAATTGTTATGCCTGTTAAAAAAACATAACATATAACGAATAACGTAAGTCTCGCAAAAGTGTATATCAGTATTTGTTCCAGGTTCATTTTGAATCAAAAAATGATTCATGGTTCAGTACTGGCTCTGAACAATTTACTTACTGATTCAAATGACTAAAGGCCTGTTCACACCAAGAACAATAACTATAAAGATAACCACACTAACATCCACACCAACATTATTATAAGCTTGTGGTGCAGTAATGTCGTCTGCCGCTTTACATGCTGGAGCTCGTTGAAGTCGGATGGATTGTGATTGGCTGTCAATGTTTTTATTGTTCGTCAGCTGGAAATAAGATTTTCAAAAAGTGATTCCTTAGTGTAATTGTCATTATAGTTGTGGTGTGAACTTCACTATTCTTATAGAATTAGATCCATTATTTAAACTTTATAGTTATAATTATCGTCTCTGATGTGAACGCCCCTTAACGAGCGAGTTCACAGTGGTTTTGTGATTCGTTTTGACTGATTCGGTAAAACAAACCAGTCATTTGTTCATGAATCGGACAACATGGCTTGTGCTGTCACCAATGCCACCGACTAGATTCTAAATAATAATAATAATAAAAAAAGATATTTTTGTCACATTTGTGTTTATATTAGTTGCAGTCTGGAGCTCTGACCGGTGACTGTGTTTGTATGTTTTGCCAGTGGCAGACTGTCACCATGACTCTGGTGGAGAAGGTTCAGGTCATCGCAGTGATGCTGGGTGGCATCTTCCTATTGGCCAGTGTTTCGTGGCTGCTGTGGTCAGCACTGAGTCCAGAGGCACTATGGCAACGCAGTGACATCCTGTTCCAGATTTGCTATGGCATGTATGCAGTCATGGACCTTGTGTGTATTGGTGAGACACTAATAGATACACTCAAACCACATTAGTCCTATACAAAGCCTTTTTCTCAAGCTAATATATGCCGATTTTGCGCATGTCCATTTAACTATGGCTGACAAATCAAAAATAATCCCCCAAAAAAAGTAGGGCTGGGCTGACCATGTTGATTAATCGATTTCAATCAATGTTCATTGTGATAAACCAATATTGATTCAAGATCCCAAGATCTTTTAGTCTATTTCAGGTGATGCATCAACAAAACATCAAAACTTATTTTAAAAGTGCCTCCCATCCAGTAACTACAATAAGCTTTGTTACTTTTGAAATGAAACCCGAGAATGTGAATGTTTGAAAGTCTCAGCTTCAAATTCTGTCAATTGTATCACGAAATTAAAACAATAAATACCATTTTGGCACTCTTTAGTTATAGCAGTTATACAACTCACTGAAATGTATCATGACTCATGTAATCCCTCAATCACGGTTTCAACCGTGGAAAGACGTTAATAAAACAACAGCTTGTAAACAATGTCACATTACATTCAATGTCCATAACTCAATATTGTTTAGCAAGAAAAAACTCAAGAGAAGAGCATTTTTATTTTTTATTATTCATATTTTTTACTTATCCTGTTAGTGATATTTAGGCCTGGTTTCACAGACAGGGCTTAGATTAAGCCAGGATTAGGCCTTTAGGTCAATTATATTGTCAAATATAAAAGCCGCCTTATGTGAAATTTAAATGTTTTTGTATACACTTCTGAGTTTTGATTATTATATCTAAAAAAAAAAAACAATTTAATTTAATAGTTTGGTCTTGTTTAGTCACAGCTTTAGTTCAGTTATTTTTTTTCCTCAAGCAAATTTGACGTACTGTACTAAATATTTACAAATTAATCCATATCGAATCACTTTGAAATCAGAATCAAATCATGAAATCTGTCAATAACCAGCCCTACTAAAAAATGTGTGTTTACATGTGCTAATAATACATTTGTGTTTCAGGTCTGATTGTTCATGAAGGTGGAGCTGTGTACAATGTGCTCATGCGCTGGCGGGCCGTTAATCTCTTCTGGGATGTCCAGAACTACGATAAAAGCCGAGACCTGGAGACCACACACAGCCTTCACCGCAACCTGTGGCTGCCTCTCACACACACACACACAGTCTCCAACGCACACTCACAAACCACCCGACTGGAGTCATCACCTCGATGCCCCCTCCACCTCTTCTCCGTGTGCCTGAATGTGACCTCTGACCTCTCCCCACAAGAGCAATGCTCAGGGGAGCATGTCGTCAGGGTCACGTCAGTTTGACATGATATTAACTCTTTCAGGGACCAATCCACTCTCCCTGCACCATCCTGTTGTGGGAGGGGCTAACCAGTGGGAGGGGCCTCAGTGTTGGGAGGAGCCTTACTTGAAAAGCACTTTAGAAGATACACAAACTGATTTAAATTACATATTGAATTGTTACTTCGAGCCTGGAGTTCTGGATCAGCCTTTGAGCATCGAAGTAAGACTACAAAGCACACACACACTTAAAATTATAATGCACACAAAATGTATTACTGCTGTTAGACAAATGAATGTTTCTTTTAAACTAACCTTTTTCGTTCAGGTTTTCAATACTGATTAACTAGTGGCAGTCGCATGGAACTTTCGAATTGGTTGCGAAGCAGCCATTCCTCCCCTTGGTAAAATGGTAAAATATATCCACACAAAACAAACGAGTGCTGATGATACATTTGAACGAAATTCGTTGTAGTTTTTCTAGGGCTAATCAATGTAACCAATTATGTAATAATATAAAATAATTATTTATAACTACCCATTTTACAGAAAGAGTGTTTAAAGAATAACACTTTAGTACAAAAATATTGGTGATTCTTACCTCATGGTTCTAGTTTTGTTTAGGATACATCATACATCATCCAGTCAGGCGGTCATATACAGTTTAGCTGCAAATGTTCAAATACTACATAAAAACAACAACATTGATTTCACGAGGAAGTAGTGGAGAAACGGCATATCAAAAAAGAAAACGTTCAAATAAAATACCAAAAAACGACATGCTTTGATCAAAAACGACATATAGTAGATGAGCACTATATCACAGTGATAACACAATAATCATATACAATGCCAGGTTTATTAGAAAGCTAGATTAGGGAACAAGCTAGAGCACAGGAGCTCATTGCATTACATTGGATTTTTTTTCTTCAGAAATGTGAGTAGTGTTTGGTTGTGTAAAACATGGCACCACAATGCTAGGCTGTTGTGGGTGGTTGGGTGGGCGGTTGCATATGATATAGATGCAAAAGTTCAAATATTTCAACACAAGCTCAAATCGGATCCGAAAATTCTGCATACGCATATATTCGTAATGCCACACAGCTCCCATACTACTCTCCATTGGAAATGAATAATGGTCTGTTGTTTGTCAGAAATAGTAAAAAAAAAAAAAGTGCATTAATTTCACAAGGAAATAGTGGAGAAACCAAGGGATTTCAAAAGTTCAACAAACATTGAGAAAACTTTAACTTTGCAACAATGCATTCTGTTGTAGGCATCTGTGTCAATATGACATTCATATAAGCGAGTCCAGCTCTCATTTTACTCCATTCCCACATGCTTTTAAATGACCCTCAGAAAGATCTTACACATTGTCATCTACCAATGCTTGTGTGTATTACAGCAAAAAACTAAATAGACTGACTTTGGACTATTACTCATGCAAAATTCATCAATTAATGGAGTTGGTGGTTAGATATTGCAGTAAACTGTGTGATGCTGGTAATCATTGTGCCCTTAAGATACCAAACCCTGGCTGAGTGATTTCTGAAGCTACTTGAGACAGATATATATGTAGGAGTGTAATAATTACAAATGTATGTTTTAACATCATAAGCACATTGAAAGCCTTCTTAAAACATCTTAAAAGAAGTCTACATAGAAAATGCAAATACATTCTGCAGATTTTCACACAAAATCTGCACTGAAAAATACTCAAAAGTCTGCTGATTTCATCTGGGCATGCTGTACTTTAGCTCTGGAAACTTGACCAGCGTTCATGATTTGGTGCTAACTGATACAAAAGATTTCATTCAGATGTCTCAGAGGCATCCAAAGTGTTAAATGATGGTTCTGCGCTGCAAAGAGGGAACGTGGATGAACATTTTAATGAATGTAAGAGTCTTTGAATTTTGTTATATTTATTGCCTATAAACTAATGCACAGTAAAGATACAAAATGAGAAAGATTTTCCTGTTGTTTTTAGTGTTTTTATAGGCTTAGAGTAGAAAAATAATAGGACCAGAGGGAGGAAAATCCAATAGTATAATCACAATCTTACAGTTCAACAGAAAAGGTTTATAAAATATACAGCTCCTCAGAATTATATAATATACAATATAAACATTGCACATATAAAACAGACCTAAAGGAAACTCGTGTGTTTGCATATCTGTGTTGGTGTTTTTTTTTAAAGGCACTGGATTGAGTGCAGCTTATTTCGGGGACTGGACTTTCTGCCTGCAGAATTCCAAAGAAATGCAACTGGACTTGATTTAAAATGTTAATACAACATAAAATATGTGGTTTGATGAACAGAAGTGTACATGTGGCACAGTTTTAAGCACAACAACAGAATGTGTGTGGAACATGATAGTGTCTGTTGTGAAAGTGTCTCTGTCTTTGGTTCTTTTGCACTCAGCATTGAAGGGTCACTCTTTTTTTTTGTGATTAAACATTTTGCTGCGTTTATCCTCAAAGGCACATTTAGGAAAAGAGTTTGTCAGGAATGAGAGATCACCAGTTGCTGCCGTGGCTGCTGATGGATTGACAAGTGCTGAAACGTTTCTTCACTATTAGACTGATGTAAGCCTTCATGAGCTTTGCGATGTCCATCACCTACAGAGACAATCAAATTGAGGAAACCAGTGTTATTTTAATATCATTGATAAATTATTATAGTTTTTCATGAATATTCTGAATTAGATTTTATTTATATATTTTACACTTTTATTTTATTTTTGTTAAATAGTTAGTAATTGTGTTGTTCTTATTTGTTTTTCTTTAAATATGTCTATATAGTTTTAATAAATATTTATTTCAGGTTTAGTTTTAGTTATTTAAGTTATACCAAATGAAAATGAGAAATAAAATGAAATAATTAATGTTAACGTTTATTTTATTTCCTTTTTTTATTTTATGTTTTTTACAAGTTTTTTATTAAACTAAAACATGGTTATTCAGGCCTTCATAATGACATACCAAAAACAAAAATGATGTAAATGTGAGGAGCGTTTTCCTGTGAAAAACTTGCTATCACAATGCTTGATAAGTGGCAATGGTGGACAGTAATGAGGCATTATTACTCTAATACTGTACTTAAGTACATTTGTCAAGTATCTATTCAAGCATTAAGTTTGGGAAAAATTCACTCCAGCAAATCAATGCATTATATCTTACTTTTTATTCAACTACAATGTCAAAGTAAGGAACTAAAGACTCGCTTTGGCCCTGTTTACACCAGGTATTAAGATGCGTTTCGATCGATCGGATCACAAGGAGACGAGGGAGATGCATTCCAGTTTACACCTGGTGTTTTAATCTCTTTTGTCCACTTTCAAACACTTCTGTCCTGATTTCTTCGAGGGGAGGGTCTATGGGCGGGTAAATGTATGGACCTTTTCTCATCTTTCGATCCAATGGATGAAATAAGCTGGCACAATTTACATATGAACTACACTGGAGATGAAAAAAAAAAATGAAAAAAAAAAACACACGGAGAGCATCAGCTTTCGATTCTGCTCTGAAACCGGCAAGACCAGCCGAACGCTGTGAGTGCGTGTTAGAAATCAGGAATGGTGAGAGAACATTGTGCTTGGTACGTTCAAACCAAATTTAGGTCTTTAGCCGACAAAGTTTAAATCCCGTCTATTTAATTGGCTAGAACTAAAAACTGATGAGTTAAATGTTTGAATTGTTCAGAGTGAGTCTTGAGTTAACAACTCAGAATAAATTGGGTCTAAACTGAAATGATCCTTAAATGTGTGGAAGAGCGATAATTAAGTTACTATAAATAACAAATGTTAGTGTTGTGTATTGTAGAAGCATGGGAAACAGTTTGTACCATGATAGTGTTGAAGAGCAGCTCTCGTCCCTCCACGCTGATCTTGTAGATGTTTGGCTGCGGTGCACCAAAGGACAGAATGACCTCGTAGAGAAACACCTCCAGAGGCCACGCCTCCCCGCGCTTGTACACGCACACCCCCTTACGACTCACGCCCAACCACAGCTCTCCAGGATACACACCGTCGACACACTGATGCACAGAGAGAATATAGTCAGCGACACTCCTGGCTGATTATGTGAGTGTCAGTGTACTGGTTTGACCTACATTATGAGGAACCAAAATTCTTATATTGTAGTGTGTATTCAGGTTTCAGGCCACGCCCCCTACATTATAAGGACACCCCAATGTACACATACTAAATTATTTTTTATTAAAAATGTAAAAATGCTGAAAGTTTTCTGTGATGGGTAGGTGTACCAACATGTGTGTGTGTTCTCACCTCCACATCAAAAAGGGTGGAGCCATATCCCTGCCATTCCTTGATGAGACCCATGTACTTTTTCATGGCTTGGTCCTGCTCCATCCCCTGCAGTTTACGCCATTTCTCCACCAAACAGCTTCTCAGCCCCGCCTTCTCGTCTTGCAGCCATGCATCTATGGCCCCAGGCTCCTCCCCTTGGCGCTGTCGCCCCAGTGTCCCTCGGAAGCTCCGCCTCAGCGTGCCTTCCAGGAAACTACCTCTCTTTCTGTCTGTGGACGGTGTGGCAGATGCAAAGCACCGAGCGGACTGCTGTACTCGAGCACGCAGACGGGCCATGGGGAACACCTGCTCCAACTCAGGCAAGACACTCTGCGTAGAGAAGTCTCCCAACAAATACTGCAGCCGAAGAGCAGCCAGAAACTGCAAAGTCTCTTCTGGGGCAGGATACTGACCCCTAATGACAGCTTCATGAGCCTGTGAGAGAGAGAGAGAGAGAGAGAGAAAAAGATTGAAATATTTGTGAAATATAATGAAAACATTTACAGTGAAGAAATTGCCTTGAAAATCTTTCGTTTTTGGCTTGAACGTCAATAGATTTATTATTAAAAAACTGTAAATGAATGATTGAGTGTGTATTTGTGTGTGACCAACAGAATAGAAGACTATGTTATGACATATGATCTTAAAAAATGTGGTACTCTAGATGTGAGATTCTGAAAACAGTGAGACAATGCATTTGTTTGCATGTGCACAATACATAGACCAAAAATCAGGCTATATATCGACCTTTAAAGCCACTTTTTTTGTAATGATTACACAATGCTTTCAGCTGCCACATTAATGTAATTTTCTCTGCAATTATTTGTAAATGTGATTAAATAATACATATAAATGTATACATATTTAAGTGATTGGCAGCCCTGTTATTTATGTATTTTAAGGCCAGATATTAAACTGAAATCAGACCTGCTCAAACATGAATGCAAACTCCACACTGTCAGCAGGAACGGTCTCAGGTTCTGAGAAACAGAAAAGCTTGAAATAAAAC